ACCTGCTCAAGTCCACTAAGGCACAGGAGACACCACTGCACCCCAAACACCTCTCTTCAGACACTCCAGCAGAGAAAAACCTGGAGGAGCTGCCTGGACACTGGCACTGTCCTTTCCCCCCACAGAGGGAAGCCTCAGGACAAGAAGTGATTCAGCAGAAGACGATGCAGTGCAGGAGTGATTGGCTTGGCAGAGACCCCATTGCAGGTCTAAAGCTGCTGCTCTACAGCACCTCTGTCACTGGAAATGAGTACAACCAAAACCTTTCCTCCCACAGAGCGCAGACACCATAAATGAAGACACCAAGCACTGTTTGCTCTTAGGTTATTTCCCAACCTAGCAAGTAGGAGTCAGCCTTCATAGCAGTAGCCCACAGCTCTGTTTGTTAAGGTTAACTGGAGTCCTTGGGCTCCTCAGTGCTCTGAGAGCTGAACCCAGCCCTTGCCAGAGAAGGTCTTTGTGCCCTTTTCATGACAGAAAAAACAAGCACTCAGACTGCAAGTGTGATTCTTCACTGAGTTGTGCATATTTCATGCCAGTAAACAACTGTAGTAAAATCTATGTTCTAAGCCAGTAAAATCTATTTTGTGATGATGAGGGATCAGGCACAGTGAAATGTATCCAGAAATTAAACAAGTAAAACAGAGCAAACAACTCTGTCCTATCAAGGTAATTTATATCCTGTTAACCACAAGAAAAAAAACAACCCAACATGCACAAGAGACATCTGGAAATGAAAATTAACTAAAACCAGACTGACGACATAAACAAGAGAGAAATACAGCCTCCAGATCTGTGTAGCTGAGCCTGATGTATATCACAAACTAGATTGCTTGGGGTTTTGGTTTTTAAAAGAACACAACAAATCAGGAAGGAAAGTTTCCATTTAAAGCCATAACTTCTCAATTCAGACATTTGGGAAGGCATAAAAGACAGAAGCACGGAGGAAAAAAATCAGCTGCCAAGAGCTCTACATGCATGTTGGTCCCAGAACTAATTGAATAACAATAACCTTTATTTGAGAATCATTTTGGTTGCCAAAATTCACAAATAATATTATTTACAATCTGGTGTGTGACCACCTGCAGATTTAACTAGATTTCAAAAATACACACACATACACACAATAAATTTGGAAAAAAATAGTTTTAATTTTAATTCTGATTTAAAAAATGGCGGTTAAGCAAGCACATTGTTCCCCTGTTGCAATATTGTCTTACACTAAGAGCATTTGCTCCTTGTTGGGAAAAAATTTCTGGGTTTGGTGCATTTCTTCTAAATGTGTGAGAAGGCTGTACATGCTCCTAGCTGAAGAAAATCTAGGTATGGTTTTCACCTCATCACTGACTTTGACTCTTCTCTTGCCTATCTAGCTATGAAATCCTCATCCAAACTGCAGTGGGATCTGCCATCTGTTTGATTCCCCTGCAGATCTGGGCAGAGCAGTTTTATGATCTGTTTCTATGCCTATAACAGAATTTTTATAAAGGTGGCAAATGCTACTGCTTAAAAAACTGGGGGGATGTTGGCTTATTTTTTATTTTCAGCCTTCTTCAGCCTGGAAAAAATATCATTGTGGAGCTTTCATTTGTTCATATTACCTACAGGACCCCACCAAAACAAGCATTTTCTAAAATAATGGTAAGCTCAGAAAAGCAGCAAGGTTCAGATTTTGAATTATATACCATTAGATCTTAAACAATACTGCCTGCCAAATACAGAATCCACATCATTTTCAAGCATACAAGTAATTTTCAAGTACCAGGCTAGTTTTGCAGTGCTGACAGACTAAAATGATCTCCTGCTTTACTTAGAAGCTGACCCAATTTGACAGAAAAATCTTCAGGAGAAAGCAAATGTAGAACTTTTTATTTTATTTGATACTACTTTACCAACTACAGCAAAGCTCTGAAGGTCAGTAATGTTATCCAGGCACTAAATACCAAATCCTGCATCAAAGCACATCCCAGAAAAGTGTGCCTGATTCTTTTATTCCTGCATGAAAATGGTGAAGCCCCTCCTTATGGGCCCACTTCCACGGTGCACCCACCCCATGTTTTTATTGTCCTGCTCCTGCACAGAAATAACACTGTATAACTAATAAGATTACTCTGTCAGTAATTCATAAGAATTATAGAGGCCCCTGCTGTGCTTGTGAAGTCACCAGAACCCAGTAAAGGGCAGTCCACCATCCAGTTTGGTTTTGTGTGACCTGTGCAATCTTCATGGCTCCTTTACTCATGTACATCATGGAGCTGCCACAGGACAACCTCCCTAAAGGTGGGCTGCAGGATAAAAGATCCCATGCAGCTCTGCAGGCTGGGCTGGGGCTTGGGGAGGATTCTAAAATGCAAGGTGAGAGGAAAACACTGAAATGGAAAAAGAGGAGAGTCAGAGAGACATAATTTTCTAAAGCCTGTAGGTTCTCAGGCACCAAAGAGATGAGTAAGAGACTTGCTGAGTTCTTCTTCCCCACGGGGGACATTCCACCCAAGTGTCACTGGGACATCTGCAGTGACCCCAGGGACTGAGGGCAAGCTTTGTGTCCCTCATCCATGAGGCCAGCATGACAGCAAGAGAAATGGGCTGTTCTGGTGCTGACCTGTGGTTCTTGGGTCTGAAGCTCCAGGAAGAGCTGGACAATGTAGGGGGCTCTGCAGAGATTGTTTCCACCACGTGTTGTGGTGAGGTTCGTGCAGCCCCGTTTTTTTGTTTTCTTTTTCTATATCAAATGGAGTATTGAATACAAGTGCCATCATTAAAAATATTTCAAATGAGTCAATAAACTATTTATCTCAGTTCCTAACCACCAGTGTCCATAAGGAGGAGGGGGAGAGCATGAAGCAAGATGTCCTGATGCTTTCCCTGTGCACCTCCCTTGCCCTTCTGCTCTCGGCTTCCTTTGCCTTGGGCTCATCCTTTTGCTCCGGCTGCTCGAGCATATGGTGCTGTGTTTCCAGAGCCAGGGAGGCTTTGTGAACACGCTGTGCTGTGTGTGCTTCTTGCACTCCTTGACCTGAGTCCATCCTGGCTGGGTGGCCAGCCTGGAGCACGGCATGGCCACCGGCGCGGCTGCAATGTGGCTGCAGCATTATGAGGAGAGACCCCAGCCAAAAAGCACCTCCAGAGAGAAGGGCAGCCCTTCCAGCTCCACCAAGGCTTCTCACAGCATTTTCCCAAACTCTTGTTCGGGATGTGACACCAGCACCCCTCAGCTAAGCTGGCCTGAGCCCGAGCAGTCAAGACTGACACAATCTGAGACACAGCTGCTTGATGCTCTTCCACTGGGAGCAACAGAGCTCCTCACCCAATGGCTCAGGGAATTGCTGAAGTTGTGGAGGAGACGAGGCTGCTCACTGAGGACGAGACACTGGGTGTCCCCAGGGAAAAGACTGCTCCTCCAGAAGGAAGGGATGTGGGCACAAAGCAAGAACAGCCTCCACAAGGGAAGAAGAGCTGCTCTTCTCCACCTCCCAGCTCATCCAAGAAACAAGCAGGGTCTGAGTGAGCAGTTCATGCCTGCCCCATTCCCCAGCATCACAGGGAATGAGTTGTCTCCACAATGAGCAGCTGGAGCCAGAGCTTTGTGTGCTCATGTAAGAGATACCTGTATGCAACACGCAACAGGCTGTCCTGGAAAAACAAGAACTTTGCCTACACTGACACTGATGTGGGCACAGGATGTGCTCTGAGTGTCAGTCTTGTTTCTTTGGTTGTTTTAAGATTTGTTGTCATACACTTTACCTGTAATGAATACCTGTAATGAAATATTGCTTTACGCAGCGTAATTCTATTTGCTAAAACATACTAATATTTTGTTGTAATTTTTTCTCTTTTCATCGTTAGCATATTGTTGTAAGGTACAGGGCATCTTTAATAACCAATCACCTTGTCTTTTGAAGACAAGAAGACACCATATAGAGAGAAAACACATTGGATCAAAATCCATGCAGTGTACCTCAAATTCATTTCACTGTGCACATGGTCTAATTTTACTTTGAGCTATTTACTAAAGAGCCCTTGGTGTTCCCATAGCCTCTGTGGTGCTCTTCACAGTGTCCCTTGGAATGTCACATTCCACACCTTGATCTCCCTCAGCAGCATCCCTGTTGTCCATGGTCCATCAGCTGTCTCACACCTGAGCTTTCCCCAGCCTGCTGCCCATTAGCTGAGGACATGGAGAATTCCCTGTCTGCTCAAATAGCTGCACAAGACTTAGGTTATGGTTTCCTTTCCTCTGGAACCAGGCCTGATATGTGTACAAGGAAAAACAAGCCTCAGGGGAAAATGAATTTTTCTCAAACCTCTTTCCAAACTGTGGCTGGAGTGGTCTCTGCTGAAAGGATGTGAACACTCCTGCTGCAGGGCTCTTATGGCTGACACAAAAAATCCAGGGGCAACAAGAGTAGGAGCAGCCCAGGCAAGAGGTCAGGGTCCTCCCCATGAACCACCTGTGACTGCTGCCCAGGTCCAGGGCCTGGCAGGTCCTTGCAGGTTGCCAGGCTGCCCAGTGTCTTACCCAGCCCAGAAGATACCACAGCACATGCAGACAGACATTCCCACGCCAGCCAGGAGCCTGTGTCTGTCACCCTGGGGGATTGCTGCACAACAGAAAAGCTGGGATTTGCTCTCCTGCCTCAGTTTCCCATGCACACACTGGCAGACCAGCCATGACAATGGGGAACTTCTGCCAGCACTGGAGAACAGGCTGAGATCCCCAGTTCTGCCTGCATTTGCTTCAGGCCACACAAAAGAGAAATCTAGTGGTAACAAATCATGGTACATTCAAGAAAGGAAAAGGAGGAAAATGCAAACAGTACTAAATGCTTTTGTGTTCACAGTTTAATGTGCAGCCCAATCACGCTTCTGGACAGAAGCTAAGTAACAGAAAACCATGGAGGAGGGGGGCCTCATAGATGCTTCTTGGTCCCTCACATGGATCTTTCCAGAAGAAGAAATTATTTAACTCCTCCCAAGATTACTGTAAATTATCTACTGACCTTAAGAAAATGTCCAAGTATTCCAGGGACACACAAGAGAGTATCTGGTGTTGTTATTCATAACTACAAAGAAAAGAAAGAAAACAGAGAAAATATAGTGTGACAAAGCAATTTGAGTAACTTGGCAAATGTGCAGGGTTAATTGTCACTTTATTGCTAAAGATGAAGATAATAAAATCATATGACTCCATTCTTCTTGCTGTGTGTCAAAGCTCCCATCATTTGGAGATGTAATAATGCTTCTTCTGAAATAATATAGACCTGTTCTTTATGTATTTATATGACCTTTGTGTATTTTTCTGCTTTCTGACCTCTTATCTTTTTGAAGTCCTCCTCACTCTGTAAATGCTGGTGATCTTAATTTACCCTGTTGTGGTAATTATGCTTAGTCACAAATGTATTTCTGTCCCATTCCCTTCAAGAGGACATTTCACAAAGCTTTGGAGTAATCAGGAAAGTCATCACAGGCCATGAGAAGTATCTGCCTACAAAACAGCTATAAACTTCCCTTTTAAATCAAGGTATTTTCTGAAAAATATGAAGAGTTATGAAAAGCTTATTTGTATCAAAGTTACTGATAAAAGCCAGGTATTACATGCCCACTCTGAAGCGAAACGGGATAAAGGACTTCTCTTTTTTTGGTCTGGCATGAGAGAATAAACTGAGCATAACTCATAAAGCATGAGGTACTTCCTATAAAGCATCCTAAAGACCTTCTTAAAAGGTTTAGGGAAGTTTCCTAGCATTAGGAAATTTCCTCCTCCACAAACACGTGCTGCTGCCCATCAGGGTAAGCTCTGTGTTCTCAGTACTGCAGAGCCATCCCAGGAGCCCTTAATGTTGAATCGGTGCTGAATATGAATTTCACCCTAACTCACACCTGTTGTCAAACTGCTGAAGCTGATGTCTGTATTTGCTCCCTTATGCCTCATGCTGCAGGAGAGTGGGCCTTTTTTTCCAAGTTGTGGTGAATGGAAATACCTTGGTTGACTTTGTCAACACTACATTTATCTTCTTACAGGGTCTTTTCCGGCAAATCATTCTCTGGCAGTGGTTTTGTAACCCCACATCTCTTCCTTGGGGACCTATAAAGCCCAAGGCACCTTTAGAAGACACATTTTGGGGCCTGGGGCTGTCAGCTTGGTCCCACTGATGCATCTGCCAAAAGCATGTGGCCACCAGCCATGTGACAAACTGGCTGCTGTGTGAGAGCTCTGTTTTTTAGAGCTGAATTATCATGCAGAGGTGTCAGTGGGACCTGTACAGGAGCTGCCTGAACTCACCTGTGGCCCATGAGTGCAGCAAAATTATCAGACACTTCCTTTTCCTCCTGATTCCTGCAGTTTGCCACAAAGCTGGTGGTTACTGTGCAGTGGAGTGACACAGGCTGTGGGCTCTGCCAGCTGAGGACAGCCACTGGCAGGCCACATGGAGACATGGGGGAATGAGAAAAGGACAAAAACCCCTCAAACCTCTGCTCTCCAGGGAGAGTGAAGTGAGTGGATTATAAACCTGAATGTCCAATAAAGGATAGCAGAGGTTTCCACCTTTACATTCAACAGCACCACAGCAAATCTGGGAAAGGCCAGAATGGGCATGAAGAGAACAAAGCACCACATTTCTCACCTGCTGTAATTGCAGAAGGGTGTGAGACCTTTACATTTTCCCACCACTTTTCCCAGAAAGTTGTTATTTAACCATCAAATAGCCAAGGTCAGCTTCAGGTAAGGATGGAAATCCTCATTTTCACTTTCTATGGTATAGTGCTCTGCCATGGGATGAAGGAGACCCTTCTAGACCAGTGTTTTGCAAACAGACTTACCAAAACAGAATACATTCCCTGTGCATTATGAAGAAATAGGAGCTTACAGATTGAAGAGGAATCCCCTGCAAACTGCCAGTGTTTTAGAGAAATATTTTTCAAATTACACAGTTAGGCAAAAATGTCCTGTTTTGAATAACTACAACAATGTTCTCTCTGTGGGGAGATGTGAAGAGCAATTATGTTCCCAACTTTGCAAACATGGATTACAGAACTGAAAATGTATTTTTCTTTAGAAATGCTCACTTTGATTTTGTTCAAGTAATACTTGAGAATCTGCCCTCCCAAATCTGCAAAACTATGATAAAAATGATTTTAAATGGTAGATGTGTTTCCAAGCCACACATAAAGGCTAGGAATTGTTTGGTAACTCCATTTAAATCTAAAATGTTTGATGGCTCAGTGCTCTTGTCATATTTAAATGATATTTGCTATAATCAGGCAGATTTTTGCTCAGCTCTGTTCAGACATTCTCATTTCTAATCCAAAATTTGCATCTACATCCAATAAAGTATATGCTCCTTAACTGTATGCCTAAAAGCAACTCAGAATTCCTCCAAAGACAGCCTCATAAGAAGACTGTAGGTTCAGGTGGGGATATCATGGAGCCTCTGTTTCTCAGTTCCCAGGACACCATCCCCTCCAGGGCCTGACATGTGTGAAGAAAGGAGCTGTATTTCCTGATGTGGACTTTTCTTCTTGCACCTCTGCTTTCTCTCTTGTTCCCTGCTGCAAAATCCTATGAGTTTTAACAGCACTATCAAGAGAGGCTTTGTAGGCACTCATGCAGTTTACATCCCCAACACATTCTTCCGAGAAAACTCAGGGGATGGATCTCAAATTAGGCACAATGGGACAGAGTGACCTAAAATCACATGCTATTGGCAGAAAATGTGAGTCTTTGTCAAAATCAGCATCTACCAAAATAACCATTCTGATTGATATTATAGTTTGATTCATGCTTTCTTAAAAACACCTGAAGGGGAGGGGAAGTATAACAATAGCTACTGAAATAAATGGCTGCTGTCCCCTGGGCTGTGACAGCAGCATTTATCTTTTCTACATCCCATGTGTGAGGAGAAGGAAGAGAATTCTCCAGCTTGTAGCTATTTTCTGTCAAAAATCTTAGTGTAATTTTTGTACAGTGAATATTTATAACTGTTGTTAGTGTCAATACAATTTTTTGCAGTTAGTGCACTTATTTACATTTTAATGGCCAAGCCAATAAAGATTTATGCACCTGTCATCTGAATTTTCCACAGAAGTGGTGATTGCTTAAAAAAATCCCAGCATCTCCTGCAGAATACTCCCTCTCCAAGCATCTTTTAGATGCCTTCATTGTTTTGGGAAACAGTAGGCTAACAGCTCTAAGAGTCATAAGTTAAACCCAGCAAAACCCTGCAGCAATCTTCATGGCAAAACTTCTGCATGTTACAAAACCACTTACTAAGGAACCATTTTCCTCCGAAATGTGAACTACGGAATAAACCTGAAGGCATCCCCTCCTTGCCTGCCCACGGTCTCGGTGCAGCAGCTTGGGCTGCCGAGGCAGCAATGTGTGCCCTCATTCCGGCCATGCTTTTCCTGGAGGCAGCCAGCCCACGAGCCTTCCTTCAGTGCCACGCAGAGGAGGAGGCTGGTGAGACCCAGAGCCCTGCTTTAGAGCAGGATCAGCACACCACAGCGGCCGTGTCCCTGCTGCCCGTCCCTGCTGGGGTCCCGGCGGGCTGGTGGCTGCGGGGACAATGAGGGACAGCTCTGTCTCCGGAGCTGTGTGCTGCCACTGCAGGCAGAGCTGAGCCAGGGCTGCTCCAGCTGAAGCTGGGGGCTCAAACACACGGGCATAGGAGGTTTCTGATCACTTTAGCCGGGGTTCAATGCTCAGAGCAGTTTCAGCATGGAGCTCAGATTCGAGGCTGGCATGAAGCCAAGGCTAGGGGCCAGGCTCCAGCGGCACCCCAGCTCCATGACCTGCCCGTGTAAGGCACCATTCATAGGTCACAGCTCCCACAGCCCGCACACGGCCACCTGCCCTGGAGCTGCACCAGAGGCACAGGCGGAGAGCCGCAGGAGCCCCGCTGCCTCCCATGGCTTCGGTGCAGAGCTCCTCGGTACAGCCCGGCTGTACGCGCAGCACCGTCAAACCTGCGCTGCTTGCCCTCGCTGCGCTCTCCACACCTCGGAAGCTTGCGCAGGAACACACATTTTAATCGTGACACTGAAAGATATTTTCTCCCGTACGGACAATTCCCTCTGCAGCTCCGACCATGCAGCGCCTCCATCCCCAAGCCCCCGGGCAGCCCAAGCGACGCCTCCGAGCACCTTCCCGAGAAAAGGGGGCGGCCGGGGGGTGCCTTTCACCTCATCCTTCAACACCTCAACCCCCCCGGTCCCCGAGATATTCCAGCAGATGTCCCCGCGGCCGCCCCCCCGCAGATGATGCTGGAGCCCGCTGTGGCTGCCCTGGGGCGGGG